AAATGCATTTGAGACATCTGTATTACATATTCAGGCAAGTTAAAAATCGTCAAAACGGCTTGCCATAGGATCTTGCTCTTCTCTCGGTTCATTGTTGTTTATGTTTACTTTGCGCTCTGCAGGACCAGCGGCAGAGCTCCAATGAACAGCCACAGCCTGCTAGCTTTCTCTGCCTGTTTTTTGCCTCTACTACTACTAGGTACTTCATGATTTTTTCCAGCTGTTCTTCATCAACAAAGATGATTGGAACCCACTGTCTTCAAACTTAAAATGTGGCATTGCTTTACCACACAGGATGTGCTGTAGATTTCAAAAGGACAAAGGCATATATTTTCTAAATAAAGACAAGTAACAAGATGAAAAGTTGAGCTCCAATGTTTTATTAAAAACAACTTTAGCTACCTTGGTTAATATCTTTAATTGAAAGTCATAGGCTAAAATGCATTATCCGATTATTTGTGAGACAAAGCCAAGAACTTTAAAGTGAGTCAATGCAAAAATCTAACTGTGGATTCTGTATATAGATTATTTGTGGACCTTTAAATATTGCTTGTCTACTGCCCATTAATTTTTATTTGTTTTTTGTCTTTTGCTATTACTAGTTTCACATAACCCTTGTATATTGACACCAACTTATTATTTTGTATAGTTTTTAATCATGAAAAAGAAAGAAAGTGTGACACTCACAGGAAGTGTTACGAAGAGCATGCAAAATACGATGGACATCCAAATGAGTATGAAAAAATTGCCAACCTCAGGAATCCTCAAAACCTTACCTCAAAGGCTGGTGTTCAGCAACTTACAGAAATGCCTCTGGTCCAACACAACAGACATCTGCTAATGACATTATTATTCTACTCTGGAATGCTAAAGCAGACATACATTAAAAAGTTTCAGGACACCAACCCGGAACTAGAAAAGTTAAAAACTAGCTCAAGGACGCCTTATCTTAAGAGTTTTCTCCACACCTTTCTGGTTGACAATGTAGATGTCTTGCTTGAACGGTTTCAGTTGCTTTGTCCTAAAAAAAAAGGTTTATGTTACTTTAAAAAGTAACTCAACAAAACTGACATGATTTTCTTCTTAACTGCCAAAGCTTACCCTGATCATCACAATGTTTCCAACACTGGCTTGAATTCAAAGTATTTTAAATGTTGCTCGCTGTAACTGCTACATCTGCACTCCCATGCCACCTGTTTTTTTTTTTGTTTGATTAAAGATTACAGAAAATAATTTTCAAATAAAAATCTCTGACCTTGGACATTATGTAACATGTCGTACATGTCAGTTTTGATTTTGTGCTTGTTCCTTAAATGAAAGCTGGGTCAGTGTCCAACAGGTGAAAAACAGGGTCCATGTTGAGAGGTTACCTGACATGGTGCAACTTTAAAATAGGTTCTTTAACATATACTGAGACACAATGTGTGCCTTGAAGTCATAAATGGACAGATCTCAAACTTGTCATGACACTGAGATCTCCTCACAAAGCATTATGGGTTTTGCTGTCACAGCGCCCACTGTCGCCATGAGCTACCTGACAGCGGCAACTAATAACAAAGATGGCGCCGGCACCGCACGGTGGACGAGGAGTTATGTGAACAACTGGGAGAAAAAAGCAGTGATCATCTGTCTGAACGGTCAGTTAACGGAGTTCACTATAAAGTCTACTATAGAGTCCCTGCTGTATATAGTGGATTTAAGGGTTAGGATGGACGTTCGAACACAGTTAGCCTGTATGAGCTATAAGAACAGCTACTTTTTAACAGAGCGTGCACAACCACAAAATGGGCTTGTGCAGGCTCTTGCATGAGTTTAATAGGCATTCCCTCTCGGGATCTGGTACAGGGTTGTGCATATGCATTTTTTTAAGTGGAGAGGGCGGGTTTTTTAAAATGATCCCAGAAATCCTCTACACTACAGTATCTTTAATAGTTGCTGTGCTGCTGTCCAGCCAAATTTTATAGAAATATAGAAAGATATCAATGTCCAGCCCTCCATTATCTGACACACTTGTCCCAATTGGGGTCGCGAGGGGTGCTGATGCCTATCTCCAGCTGTCAAAGGGCGAGAGGCAAGGTACAAACTGGACATGTCTCCAGTCCATCACAGGGCAACACAGAAAC